TGTATATGATACTAGGCAAATAATACTTCAATGATAATTTTTGTAATTGCAATTATAGCTGTGATACTTGTACTTATGTGTAAATTTGGGGGTATATTATTTAAGGAAAAGTGAGAATTTTGCATGTTACCTCCGGTATATCTTCATTTTGAAAGATATTCCTGATCACAGTGTAGACTTTCTAACCCCAGGGGAAGCACAGAAATAAATACTATATAAATAAAAGACAGAAATACCAAGTCCAAATTAATGGACACCCAGAAAACACATATGACTTCAAGGTTTTAACGAAAGTTTAGACATATCAATGTTTCCTTTGGATTGCAATGGGCAGCAGTCCAAGTGCACTGGACACAGTCTGGCATGTCTCTGCTCAGGAGGCCAGATAGGAGTTTCAGAGACCTACTCCAGAAAGAGTCAGAGCAAGAGCATGTAGTGTGAGGCAGGAGGGGTAGGACCATGCTGCAATTCTCAGCCCCATGACCATTGTATTTCATCTGTAATCCATTGCTTTCCCTGCCGGGTGAAGTGCACCACTGAAAATTATTTTTGTCTCATTAAAAAGTGAACATTTTAGATAACTTCAAATTCACAAAGTTTCTCTCTCACACCGCGGGTAGTACAAGAGTGGAAGACTAAAACAAAAGGTGACATTTTGAATTCTTCCAGGTACATTTGAAATCTGGGACTTCATATATTGTGGAAACAGAAATGGGGAGGAGCGTGTACAGCCAGGTAAATGCATAGAACTCTATTTTCTATGTAAGAGCTTCCAAGCAAGAGCTGATTATGCAAAGTCCAAATTTCCTTTGCACTGTTCACCTGAATTTCAGATTTAAAAACCTTAAAATTATATAGTATATTTCAGATATACAGAGTTCAGTGTGGTATTTTGATGAAGTTGTATAATAGGAAATGATCCAATCAGACTAATTGACATTTGTATTTGGAAACACATTTGTGTTTGTTTTTCTAATTTTTAATTAATTATTTAAGATTCCATGCTATGTATTTTAATCACTTTCACCACTAACTCATGAGACAAATTTCTCCCCCTTTACCCACAGCTTCATCATGTCCTGCTTTATAAAAAAAATTACCTGTAAATTCCTATTTGAGATCTCCTTGTTTTTATGAGTGTGTTTCTTCTCTAGAGCATGGTTGACCTACGAGAAGACATACCCCCTACAAATCTGACTGTTTTCTCCAGAAGCCATCACCTGTTCATAGCTCCTCAGTTAGGGGCAGGTTTTCATGAACTTCTGACCACTCCATGCTGAGATGTTGACTAGTCTGATCTTGTGCAGGCAACAGACTTGGGAGTGGGAGTGATATAAATGTCCCATTTGTTCCTGAATGCTCCACTGACACTTATTCTCTGTACTTTTTCCATTTGTGAATTTCTGTATTAATCACTGTCTTTTTCACAAAGAAACTTCTCTGATGAGATCCAAAAACTTAGCTAATCTATGGGTAGAAAGATACATTTTCTGGACTTCGTGGTGCACACCATTTTTCCTAGCCCTTAGGTGGCAGAAACAGGCAGATCTCTGTGAGACGGAGGCCAGTCTGGTCTACATAGGAAGCTTAAGGCCAGCTGGGGCTAGAGGAAGACCCTGCCTCAGAAACATAGCCCTAAAAGGAAGATACAAATTTAGATAGCACTTTGATATTTTGTCCATTTAGCAGAATAATAGGAGTAGATTTAACACTGGGACCTATGAGCTTCCCAAACATGGGTTCTTGGATATATTTACAGGACCAAGCTTGTATTCCCTTAAGTGGTGCGGGCCTTCAAGCTAGTTAGAAAGTAATTAGTTATCCTCATAATACCTTGGGCACTATTTCACCCATGGCTGTATCTTGCCAACATGCTCAGTATTGCAGTTCTAAGCTTTCACAAGCAGGTAAGACTGCTGATAATTTTACCCCCAGCAGAGAAAGAATTATTGTGTCCTTGTATTGGGATATTTTCACACTTGTCTTTTGCCAGGTGATTCCTGGAAGTCACATTGGGAGATTTCATAGACCTTGTCACTTTGTATTCATGATCCAGTACCCTGTAGTACAACTGCCGCATGGTCATTTTTGATATGTACAAGAACACATTGTCTGCACACAGTGATTTCATCTGCTTATGGAGCTATGTTTAATGGCATTTCAAACAAAGAAAATAAGAGATCATCTAACACTCATGCCAGTAAAAATTCGATTAAGAGTCAACAATGAATCATCATATAAAATAAAGATACTGAGAGAAAACACAGAAAACTGAAAGGCATCTTCTCCTATTGTTCGCATGTGTGCAGAGGAATAACATTTTAGGCTTCTTTGCTTGGTTCACCATACATATGTGGGAACAACAATAGCAACACCAAGGTGAAAGAATTGTTGAGAGGTCCAAACAGGGTTGAAGTCCAGCATCCAAGTAGCATCTACAAACATAGAATTGAATCGGTATTCTGCTGAGCCTAAAACAGTAAGGCTATGTGAGAGATGGAAGTTTCTGTTGAGAATCAGAATCCAAACTAATCACTTAAGAAACAAATCCAGTCAGTAATTAAAAACACATAAATTTTTTTTAAAGAATCAGAAACTGGAGAGATGGCTCAGCAGATAATAGAGCTGGCTGCTCTTACAGAGGACCCAGGTTCAATTCCTAATACCCACCAGGCGTCTAAAAATCCATCCATAACTCCACTTCCAGCAGGTCTGACATCCTCTTCTGACCTCCTCAGGTATTGCATGAAACGGGTGCACTTACACACATACAGGCAATGCACTCATACACAGAAAATAAAAATAATAAAGTAGTTTTAAAAATTAATCATGATGTTGTAGAAAAATACTTTTTCAATGAATTTCTCCAAATTTCATGCAATATAACTTCTTCATATTTAGACACTTCCCTTACTTTCCTCTCTGCACCCCCTTACTACCCTGCCTGATTTCATGTATCTAATGTATATATCACACCACCCTCATTGAAGGTTTAGTTTTACCCAGTGATATAATTCACCTCTGATCTCATCCTATTTGCTAGAGCCAATTTATTTATTGTCTAGATTTTTGGTATCATTTTCTTCCATCTGGATATTATAATAATATAAATTTCATTTGCAAATGAGATAATAAGTGTCTGTCCATCTGTCAGTGGGAGAGAGAGAGCAAGAAAAGGAGGGAGAGAAACTGAGGGGAGACTGGTGTGTTAAGTGGATAATATTTCTCTATATCCATATGCTTCTCTCAATTATGAATTATTACCCTACATTTTCTCTATAATGATATAATTACAGAACTATAAATATCCTTTTCAAAAATTTTAGACTATATTATCCTCTCAGTTCCTTTACAAATTCATTGTTTTCCAGATAGTTTATCTAGAATTTTAATTCAAGATATATATATATATTATTTTTACTTTATGTGTATGAATGTACTGCCTGTATGTATGTGAGTGCACCCATGATGTGCATTGCTGTGGAGGTCAGAGAGGGCTTCAGATTCCGCTGGAATTGGAGTTAAGGACAGTTTGTAGCAACAATGTGGGTTCTGGGAATCAAACTCGGGTCCTCTGCAAGAGCAGTCAGTCCTCTTAACCCATGAGCCATCTCTCCAGCCCCATCTGGATATATATTTTAAATGCCTTTCTAACATACAAGTCAAAACCATGAACCTGTTGGGAATTTTCAGTCTAAAACTTCCACTCTTTTAGGATCACTGCAATACATATTGAAAGATATATATTGAGACGTTCATGAAGAACATGCATGTATTAAGGAGAATAAAAATGTTCATGTTTTAGAGGAATAATGTAGTAGTTGTGTCTTACAGAAATAAAATGCATTGTTGAAAAGAGGAAGACTCAGCGTGAGCTCTGCATCTGTCTTTTCCTTCTTTGTCCCCCAGTAGGTGAACAGCAGACAACATGACCAACCACACAGTGGACACAGATTTCTTCCTCATGGAATTCTCTCACAGCCATCAGCTCCAGGTGCTCCAGGGCTTCTTGTTTCTGCTGATTTACTTGGTGTCCCTCATGGGGAACCTTCTCATCATCATGCTTGTCACTGTGGAGAAGTGTCTTCATACCCCCATGTACTTCTTCCTGAAGAACTTGTCCTTCCTTGATGTGGGCTTCATTTCAGTCACAGTCCCAAAGCTCATTTTCAATTCTTTGTCTCACAGGAGCACTATCTCTTTCCCAGGATGTGTGTGTCAGGTGATATTCGTGGCTACCTTTGCTGCATCTGAAATTTCCATCCTCACAGCTATGTCCTGTGACCGCTATGTGGCCATCTGTCACCCACTGCACTATGATGCAATCATGAACAGGACAGTCTGTGTGCAGATGGTAGCTGCCTCTTGGCTATTTGGAAGTCTCTTTGGGGCCTTATATTTTTATGGAACCTTCTCTTTATCTTTTTGTGACTCCAGAAAAGTGCCACAGTTCTTCTGTGATGTCCCCTCTCTACTGAAGATTTCCTGCTCAAAGATTCATGTCACCATTGACATTAGTGTCATTGTTGGAATTGTTTATGCATTTCTCTGCTTAGTGTCCATAGTGTTTTCATATATTTACATTTTCAATACATTGTTGAGAATACCCTTGTCACAGGGGAGGTCAAAAGCCTTTTCTACCTGCGTACCCCATCTCATAGTTGTCTCCACATTTTTAGTAGCAGCTGTCATTGCCTATTTGAATCCAGTTCCTGATTATCCACAGCGTTTGGGCATTTTGATATCTGTTTTCTATTGTTTGATGCCTTCATCTATAAATCCTATAATATACAGCCTAAGGAATAAGGAAATCAAAGCTTCTTTGTGGAACTTTTTATGGAAACTTCATAACTATGTGCTTTATAGGGAAAAACAATTATAGTATGTAGAACATGAAATGTTTTTACCCTAACTGCCTATCCAATTTCTACCTCCTTTTCTTATCACACCATCCTCTGAAGAGGTTACCCAAATTGCCAATAGAGAATCAGGATGCAGACCACTCTGTCTTCTTTCATGCTGAGCAGGGATGCAGGGTGAGGCCACTGGAGTACCCCTTCAGTGGGTCTACCTAAAAGACTCCCAAATTGCATAACTCTTACCTCTAAGGGGAAAAGAAAGTCCTTGAATCATGAATAGGTAGGTGATGTGAAGGAGAAGTAAAGGCAAGAGTAATTAGCATTACGAGTTCTTGACAGGGAACTAGAAAACTGTCAGAAAAGGGAAATTTCAAATGTTCATATGAGAGTCCTCTGAAATTTCTTGACAAGGACTTCCAAAAGCATCCCTCAATTGGGTCCCTACTCATTTTTCTTTTGTCTTCCAAGGCTGGACTCTAGAGTGATGGATTCAGGATTTACTTTCAGGTATTTTGATAGCAGTTGGAGTGGTTAGAATCAGTGTCAGTTCCCTCACAAAAGATTCCAGTTAGGGGGAGAAAACAAATTTATCCATCATTTTAGAACAATAGCTGCTTGTCTCCCTTAGCTACAGGTGGCACTACGATATTGGAGACCAAGATTTGAAGTCTTACATCTGAGCAGCACTTTCTGGTTAGGAACAAAATCATCAATGAGAAGTCATTGTCTAAATATTTTTATACAGATTTAAGCCTAAAGTTTGGGAAATGTAATCCCTTGAGCTCTTAAATAAATATACTGATGACTTTGATCTTTAGTTATACATTTCTTTTGGGTGTTTAAAACCATACAGTTGGCCCAAGTAAATCAATTTATTTTTACACTTAAGGTTATTTGAGTATCTGTTCCTCAGGGGTCACATGGGCTTGGGAGGAGCTCCTAGAACTTTTCTTTTAGCAGTTCCATTTTGGGGAAGATAAGTCAATGGTCCTGCTCAAACTTGTCTGACTTCACTTAGAAGCATGAGAGAGTTGCTTCCTCTGAGTTGACCCTCCTCTTTGTAGACTGGACATTTTGAGAGATGTTCCATAGTCCCTGGAACTTTGTCGACATTGGAGAGCAAGGGGCAAAAACTGTCCTTTAAGTCCCTCTGACCACCTTAGTATAGGCCTCAAACTATGGTTGTAAAGCATCCAAAGGGGTTAATTCCACCAATCTGGGACTTTTAATTACGATGTGCTATGTAGATAAATCTTGGGTAAAAAAACAAATACTCTCAGATAAACCTTTACTAGGTATATATTTTTTTCCTTAAACTAGTTGACCAAACTATGATCATAGACAGTTTAAGATTATGTGTATATTATTTTTGTTGACTTCTTCATATAACAAAATAAACCTACACAGACCTTCCTCACTTGCTTATCCTTTCTCATTTTTTCTGTCTACTTTGTAAAATATCTCCATTCTCATATTTTTTAATATATTTTACATTCTGTTTCTTTTTTTTCAAATAATTGTGAGACATAACATCATTAATAAATAAATTTTCCATCTGTCGCGAGACTTCTTTTTCTGGGGTTGCTAAGCAATGCTTATTTATTTTTAAGGTTCTAGTGTCAAGCCAATGTTTGATTAAAGTTTTACTGGGAAACCAATGAATTTTTTGAGCTTACTTACTAAGATAACTGAGGGGTTGCTGAGGAGTATGTATGACCTGAGGCTATGCACACTGGAAAGCTTTTACCCAGCATGGGTCATGCCTTCTCTTCCTAGCTTTCCCCAGATTGTATACTTTAAGGCTTGCCAAATCCAGGAGGCCATGTATGATTAGGGCCAAATTATCAGGTGGCTGAAATTGCATGTACTCAGATTTGGATCTTCAAGTTCCCTAGAAGTTGAGTAAAATGAGGAACACTGCTTCTGAAAAGTTGACACCATAACCAATTCATAAATTTGTGATTCTTATTTATGCCCTCCACCATCATGTCCCAGAGATTCTTAAAACTTTTTAAAGTGGTCCTAAGTTAATAGTATCTCTACGATCCTGTCTAGAAGACAGAATCTTAAAATAATTTGTCCTTTGACAATATTGAGCACCACAGCATAAAGCAATTGCAGTAACATTAATTGGATATATGGAAAATTTTCAAGCACTTAAAACCCAACATAAATAACAGACTTTTTAAAGGGAATAAATAAGAATCACAAATGGAAAAATGTAGATATTAAAGCTTGTTGCTGGAGAGTATCAATTATGCAACTGACCACTTTACCAGAGCAGAGATAGCTAGAAAGAGAATTAGTGAAAGGAAATATATGTGAAAATGTTCATAGTACAGCATAGAAAGACAAAAAGATGAAAAGGTGGCAAATTCAAATGTAGCAAAGCATTATTTCATTATCTTATTTTTTCTATGACTGTTGTTAAGAAACAAGGTGCCAGAGCTTAGAGAGAATGCTCTGTGGTTAACAGCACTGGTTGCTCTTACAGAGAACCTGGGTTCAGTTTCCAGAAACCACATGGTAGCTAGAAACCATCTGTAACTCGAATTCCAAGCAATCTAATGCCCTTTTCTGATCTTTATGAGCATTGCAGGCAGGGGTGCATCATATACAGGTTAAACACGCACAACACTCAACTAAAATAAATAATTTTTTAAAATTTGTGTTTACTGAATTTTTGTGTATTTCATATAGAACATCTCGGTTGATTCCCCAGATGAAATGGTGCTACAGAACAAAGGGGGACTAGACCTACTATTTCTAAAGAAAGGTGGCTCCTACATGGCCTTAAGTGAGGCTCGCTGTTTTTATGCCAATATTTTGAGCGATAGGGTTTTGCTGATCCTCTGGTTAATACTCCTCCTAGCATTTATGGTAGGCCCATGCATCTTAAATTGTCTAACCAGATATATCAAGAGGCATCTAAATGCCATCCAAATTATGGTTCTAAGAATCCAATATGAGCTCCTAAGTCAGAATAAGTGAACAATTTAACTCATGTCTCAGAGCCAGTGGAAATGTAGTAGCTCGAGCTTTTCCATTTTGTGTACAACAGCTTGGTGAACCATCCCAGACTGTGCTCTGGCCCCACCACCTTTCCAGTTTCACTGGTCTATCATCTGGTCATAGGACCACCCCTAGGAAGGCAGGTTCACCTTAAGTTATACTAAATAAATGGGCAGAATATCTAGTGCATTAATGAGATAGCAAAGTTTTCCTGCCTCAAATCCTGCCTCCTAGCGCAGCACTTCTGGACCAGCCACCATAATGAAGTCTATAATTCTTTCTGCTGAATTAAGAAAAGCATAATGTCACCTTTTCTTCTCCATATCTCATCTCCTTTCTAAAGATGCTTTTTTTAAGGCTTTGAGCTGCCGCTAGTGTATTTCTTTACTATTTTCTAAAGCTTCCTTCTCCCAGCCATGTGGCTGCCAGTCAGCCTTGTGTCTGACCTCCATACTGGCTTTAAACCTGCATGAGTTGATGACTTTCTTGCCTTCTCCCCTCCATTCTCCTCCTCAATGCAGCTTCCAAGATACCAAGTGCCTGCCCTGATGATTTTCCTTTAAAATTTTAATAAAATTTTAAAAGCTTTCATCCTCTTCCAGTGAAGGTAGCAGTCTCAAAATTGGCTCAGAGAGTGTTGTCCTGGCCAGCTAAATGGATTTGGCTGATTCGGAATTTTTTGAGTCTGAATGGTCTCCTCCCACTGATCATGAACTCCATAAAAGTGGAAAAAAGGGATAACTGTCCATCCTTAACTGAGGCTTTTGAGGCCTCTTTAAGGTTGCTGTTTTCCAGGGTAAGCTACAAGGGAGCTAATGTTTCTGTTGGCACGATCCCTCCTGTCATTTCAGCTGTCTGCATTTTCTATAACCACAGAAAAAGTTAACCCTGTCTTCTCTCCAGCCTAAAGGGATTAAGAATATTTCCTTGGACACTGCTGTTTGACTGCTTTGTTGTTACCAGAGACCCAAAAGTTAGCTCTCTGTTGTGTAATGTTTAACACATTGAGCAAATTTATTTTGGGAAATAATACATTTTAAAATTACAAAAAATTTTGTAATCATTTTTATACTCTTTTCCTCACTGGCACCATCCCATGACCCCGGCAGTAGAACTGGTACATTCTTTCTTTTGTGTTAAGGCCTATTGTGTCAAGTTAATGCCCCTAGATGTTCAGTAGTACAAGTTCATCTACTGAGGTCTGGTCAGCTTATCTAGAGTTCCTTGCTTTAGGAAGATATGCTCTTCCTTACCTAGGAGTAATCAGTTTCCAGTATTTCTTCAGCTAAGATTGGGGTCTGCTGTCAATTTTTCTAGTTCTGTGCTGGGTTTTTTTTGCCTGCTTGAGTTTTCATGAAACTTGTGTATACTGACACCACTGGTGTAGATTTATATGAACAGGGTCCCAGGAAACTTTCGTACTCTATTTCCATATGGTCGTGCATCACCTCTTTGGCACTTACAATCTTTCCACCCCATCTTCTGAAATGCTCCCTGAGCTCTGGGTGGGTGCTGTTCATGGACTAGCATTCAGAAGACTTTTTACTCTGTGTTTTTTAACTTAAAAAAATTTATTGAGAGTTTTATACAAGCATATAAGTTTTTTTGATCAAATCCACAGGCACTCCCTCCCTCCAACTCCTCCCATATCTCCCCATCACTTTTTTCTGAAAACTTCATATACTCTCTTTCTTTCTATGGGCTTTTTGTTACTCTGACATTCCCCCCTCTGAAGATGTAACCTTAAAATCATTTAGGGCTTAGATAAAAGCTCCCGAATTCTTTTTGACATTTTAGGCCTTTGGAACAGAGTATGTGGCTAAGAGGTCCAAGGACATTTTAAATTTTATCCAAGAAACTGGCTACTTTACTTTGGGGTCTTTTTACCCTAACTGCTTAGCCAATTCCTACCTCCTATTCTTATCATACCATCCTCCAAAGAGGTTACCCAAATTGCCAATAGGGAATCAGGACACAGACCACTCTGTCTTCTTCCATGCTGAACATGGAC